TGATGAATCTTTTATTCTAAATTTATTTATTTTTTCATTTACTTATCTTCGTGACAAGTACCATGTCATAAAAATATTTTACCGACTTAATTATTTATAACAAATTGGATCGATTTGTTATCGGATCGAATTGACAGATATCCATATTTGATCTATTTAGTTAACGTATTATCGGATTCAGATCTTAATCGGGTTATCGGATTGAGACCATAAATCCATCTCCCATTAATTTCGTCGGATTCGGATCGAATTCAGATCAAAATCTAATCAATTGATAGCCCTAGCGCCGACTACTGATGTTATTTTGTGTTTGATTTTTTTATATTTAATTATCAATATATTTTAATTGTGTTTTTTATTTTTATCATTTTCAAATTAGACAAAAATATGGTCAATGTCAATTATCTTGTCAACAAACAGTCAAACTAACGGTTTCCATTCATTTGGACTCTAGGTGAGAATTTTTGAAAGATTTGGTACCATGAGTACCACAAAATAAAAGTCTGGGTCAAATTTGCATAAAAGTGAAATATTTGGAACCGTACCTACAATTTTTCCTTCAAAAAATTGCTCCATCAATCACCTTATCGTATCAAAATCAAACCGTGCAAAATTATTGAATTAGTAAAGACAACTCAGCCCCCACCTAAAATATATACCGTTCAAATTCCATAGTCAGGTTCCTTCCAAATTGGACTCCAACACTGAAAAACACAAACAAAATCGCCCGCATAGATTCACGAAACTCCTTTTTTAAGGAAGTGCTAAGTGCACAAAAAAAAAAAAAACATACACACACACACTGTGTGAGGGAGATGGCGGATGACGTGCCCTGTTGTGATACCAAGTTTTTTCTATATGTGTTGATAATCATAGGACTGGTGACCTTTGCTGGGCTCATGGCTGGTCTGACTCTTGGGCTTATGTCTCTTGGTCTTGTCGACCTCGAGGTTCTCAGCAAATCAGGGCGCACCCAGGATCGTATTCATGCCTGTACTGCACAATTCCTCAGTTTTCAATTTTATGTATATAATTTATTATTTATGCATCTATATGCGTGTAGATATTTCGAAGTTTTGATGATTTGGAAGCCGAGTTTATGAATTTGATCGTTTGTTTGTTTTTTTTTTTTAAATATTTTCCCTTTTTGGCACTTGGTGAGTTGGTGTATGTAATTGTGTTTGTGGGTTGTTCTTGATTAGATTATTCTTTATGATGATTGACATTTATGAAGGATTCTGAGCAATGTTACTGCTTGTTGGGTTCTTGGAATGTTGCCAGATTATTTAGTTACTGCATGTATATGTAAGAACTGAAGGATTTGTGAGGAGAAAAAGTTCGAGCTTTAGGATGTAAAATTCGGGAGATTCTTTTCCCATACTGAATCGCCGACTCTACAAAAAGCATCCCATTTTGTTGCGATTCTTGAAATTTTCTGATGCCCTTAAATATCTCCGACTATTCTCTGACCTCATTGGTTTTAGCTTTCGTTAGGGTAACTGGGATATGAATTGTCTGCATATGAGTTTGGTGTTTGTAACTAATATTTTGGAAGGCGTCTATGTGTGGCAGCTAAAATACTTCCAGTGGTGAAGAATCAACATCTCTTGCTATGTACGCTCTTGATTGGAAACTCTCTAGCGATGGAGGTTTGCAGAACATCCTTAACTTGATAACATTTGTATCTTAATGTATGACGATCTAAACAGTGTGTCATGGTTATGGTTTTACCTGTAGTCTCTTCCCATATTCTTGGACAAGCTCGTGCCTCCATGGGCAGCAATCCTATTATCAGTCACACTCATCCTCATGTTTGGGGAGGTGCTTCATCTTTAACTAAACTATACATGATGGTTTGAATCTTGCTTATTCTAGTTCTTTAATTGGTTAAATCATTACGTTTACAGATATTGCCTCAAGCAATCTGTACTCGGTATGGATTAACTGTTGGAGCAACCGTAGCACCCTTTGTCCAGCTTCTTCTTTGGGCATTTTTCCCTATTGCTTATCCAATTAGTAAGGTACATCTGATGTGCATGCGATGTTACTTTTATTGCCTCAGCTGGACAATTTTCTTTCTCTGTTAAAAATTTTGTTAGTCAGTTATTTGCTCTGCTAGGACATTGACAGAAAGTTGAAGAAAACATGACGAGATTATATTTTATTTTAATATGTTTATGAAATATCTAGAGGCGAGCAATACTGCATAAGAAAGAAAAAACTTCTACTCTTTGCCTCTTGTCATGATTAAGTTCTAAAGCTTTTAGGATGTTTTTGTTCTAGGTTCTGGATTGGATGCTGGGTAAGGGGCATGCTGCCCTTCTGCGTAGAGCTGAGCTGAAAACGTTTGTGGATTTTCATGGTAATGAGGTACTCTATCGAGTCATGGAATTCTTCATTTTCTCCCTGTCCTCTCAACTTACCAATTTATTTGCCGAAATGATAATCAAATTGCTTTTCGCAAAATAATTGTATCTACGGAAGAACGTTTGTACCGTCACTCTTCTTTCATGTTTAACATGGCATAATCTTATTTTGTTAATAGGCTGGGAAGGGTGGGGATTTGACGCATGATGAGACAACAATAATTGCTGGAGCTCTGGAAATGACTGAGAAGACTGCTAAAGATGCCAGGACCCCTATATTGAAGGCATTTTCCATCGATCTAGATGGAACCCTTAATTTGTGCGTCTATCACTTGCTGTTGAATCTAGTAATTATGTTCTATATATGTCATTTATATACATAATCCATTTATGATCCTTGCACAGGGAAACACTGAATGCTATAATGACAATGGGCCATAGTAGAGTTCCAGTTTATTATAAAAATCCAAATAACATTATTGGAATTATACTGGTAATTTATTTTCTTCCTATGCACAATCACGATATTGGCATTCTTGGTATCACTTGTTATTCATTGTGCATATCTGTCTTCAAAAGTTACTTTTTCTATTTCGCTTTCAAATGAACTCAGAAACTAATTAGTGCACTTTCCTACTATCCAATTCCAGTTTAAACCTATTATTTATCTCTATTTTGTGCAGGTTAAAAATCTCTTAGCTGTTGACCCTGAACATTCAGTTCCTCTGAGGAAAATGTTAATAAGAAAAATACCCTGGTAAGGATACACTTGATTTTCTGCTCCCACCCTTTTAAATAAATAGCACTGGGAAGAATTTTATTTCCAAATATGGCAGATTATTAGTAATTTTATGCTGCTACTATGTACTTGGATAAAGCATCTTCTTCAATAAGTCATTGTATTTTGGATCTTTATCGACTATACTCAGTAGGAGTAGTTGGGTTATGTTCATCCTCCCTCCCCTTCCCATAGTAGTTAATTCTTTTGCCTTGCTTATACAATTTTCAGGGTTCCAGAAAACATGCCACTTTATGATATTCTGAATGAATTTCAGAAGGGTCACAGTCACATTGCTGCTGTATATAAGGATCTGAATGAAACAAAAGAGACGATGCAGAAAACCAAAGAAGGTTTAAACATTGAGAACAATATAGTCATTACTAATGGCTTTATGGGTTTTTTTTTTTGCCTTTTTAACTCTCTGTTCTTTCTTTATTTTGGATTTCTATCTCCCCGTTATTGTCCCTTGTCTTTCTCATCGCTTCTACAGTTCTTTGTATCATATTTATCAATGTGATTAAGTTATAGCTTATATATCTTGTTCTCACTAACTGTCCGCTGCATTGATCCGTGCACGAGTACATTATATGCGATTTTAGTTTTGTTTTCTTTCATTTTTTCATCCATACCTCAGTTCTACCACATTTATGTAATATACTGCTGACATTTCAAACTAAACGTCATTTATTTATAACAGGCTACCTGTCTTCCCTTTCTTAGTCTGATTTCTTGATACCTACATAAATATGTAAAACTTCTGCTTTGTGTTTATTGGAACGTGATAAGGTGGGTCCTATTTGCAGACATTGACAACCTTGCGATAAAATCCATCTCACCTGATGCTGACAAAATCTTGAGTAAGGCTGATGTAGACCAAGTGACAAAGAAAAGTCCTCCATCTACTCCTGCTTTCAAAAAGAAACATAGAGGCTGCTCATATTGCATTTTAGATTTAGAGAATTCTCCAATTCCTGAACACCTACCCAATCAAGAAGTTGTTGGTGTAATTACTATGGAGGATGTTATTGAGGAGCTTCTTCAGGTACACGAATTTGGCTCAACCAATCGATATTAAGCAGCTGTTCCTTCCCCTCCTCCCATTTTTTTCTATAGTCAGTGCATTTTATGATTGATAAGCATGCGGTTTTTTTTTTTTTTAATGTACTGGCTGTTACTATCTCTGAGGCCATTACAGGGTGGTCCTGCTTCATTTTTTAAATATTGCAAACTACCAGTTTCCAAGTGCTGGTAGTTTTATTTTCTTGCCCCTTTTAACTGTTGATGCTGTTCTGTAGTTTCTGAATATCAAGCTATTTCATTATTTTCCTTTGTTGCTTACTTTTTTCTGTTCTTGCATATTATTCATTTTTCAGGAGGAGATACTGGATGAAACGGATGAATATGTCAACATACATAACAGGTAAAAATTAGTCCTTTTTTCCTTTAAAATTTACAACTTCCATGGATATACAAATCCCTAAAAAGTAAAGTCGACAGCAATAGGTTTATTTTTTTTAATCCAAACACTAGCAAAGAATTCTCTGCTCTCTGGAAAATGCTAAAACTTGCACATTCTCCTTCAAGTTAATTGACAAATGCGGAAATGATATCCTATACATGGATGTAAAACCGACAAATGCGGAAATGATATCCTATACATGGATGTAAAACCGATAAAATTTGAAAAGTTGAAGGAAGAGTATCACCGAATGTTTCTTTGGTGCAGGATAAAGATAAACATGAACACTTCTCAAGAAAAGGCTCTCGAGTCAAACTCCATACAATATTCTTCTATACCTACTCCCTCGGTAGATTCGGGTCTTCCCCTTGTTCAGTCAGTTACCACGACTACCGGACAATAGCACTTATACGGTTTCCAAAGGGAGCTTGTGAAGAGGGTTTATAGTGTTTTTGGCAAGCAGTAGCTTGGAATGGTCATAACGAGGAGATTTAGGATGTACTATGTTCTTGTTTGAAACTGGATTTGCTAGCCGTTGGTCAAATAGATATATAAATTGTAACTACTGCTGTGAGAAGGTGACTTGTATACATTTTGGAGAAACAGAGGAGTGTCACCTGTTGATGTCAATTTTCATCCATAAAATGGAGGCAAACATGCTAATCCCCAACCTTTAGTGTGTTTGACAATCTCGTCCTCAACTTTCAAAATCGGACTTCTTAATCTTGAACCTTTAGCTCCATTGGCTAATTAGTCCTTAGAAATTTCTGCCAAATATGGCTTCGAACCATCAGGTGACGCACACGCACTATATTACGAGGGAAGGTATAAATTTTTAAAATAAAATTAACAACAAAAAAGAAAGACGTCATCTTCTTTACCCCGTATCCACTCTTGCCTCTCCACCATCATAGTCGTCACTTTGAATTTGCGATAGATAGCAATATATGAGAAAAATGACTTTTAATGTTGTGTGACAATTTCTGTCCAAAAACTCTGTTAAGGGTGAGAAAAAAGACTTATTTACCGATAGTATTTTTTAATAGGCAAAAAAAAAAAAAAAACCAATATATACAATATTGTGACTAAATATTTGTTCATCATTTAAAAGAAAATAACAAGTTTTTTGGACGAAATTAGTCATTTCTTGAGCTAAGCACATAAATGTAGAAATGAATAAAGATTAAGAGCCTTTCGAGGAAGTATGAAAAATTTTAAATTTACGTGTAAAATATTTTATTGTGTGAACGTGTGGTTGAAAATAAGTATTTTAAAAAAAAGGGAGTCAAGCACAGGTTAAGTATCCATGTGCCAAAATTTTTAAAGTTTTTTGAAAGGAATGCCAAAATTAATGTTGATTACCCAAACAATTATTTTCCTATCTAAAAAAATTAATAAACACAAAAGAAAACAAAAAGAATATATAAATAATGCCATCTGTGTCTCTCATTTTGTCTCGTCTTAGAATGTGAAAAATTAACCAAAAACCTCAGCTAACAACATAGGTCTGAAGATCTGAACTTTTCATGAACAATTTTTCTAGTATCAGTAAAGAGAAAAATCTAACCTTTATACGCTCTCTACTGCCACTTCCGTTTTTAGCCCACATTTGATTGTATTAAAATCGATTTTTTTTTAATAAATTACAATGAGTTGATGAAATGTATAGCCCACCAAACAGTGGCTTAATAAAGTTTAAACGAAGTAGATGGCAATTCTGTGTTCTATTTACCAAAAAAATCCTCTGTTAAAGATCATCTTTCAACTTATTACTGCATGGTTCTTGGAGATTTCACATATTTTCGAGGGTAATCTTGATTCAATCTCTCTTAATCTGAATAAATCAGAAGATGATTTCACCAAATTGACTTCTTTCACTGTTCTTCTTCGATTCTACTTCTGGATCTTCCGTAACTTCGAATCTTTACCGTTAAAACTTCACTCTCGATTAATTATTATCTAGAATATTTGTTGCTCCTATTTTTCTGTTGTGTCTCTTACTTCTCTTTTTTCTTTTTCACTACTCAAAGATTTTTCCTGCTGGATTTCAGCTAAACTTGATATCTTGGAAGTCTATATTTTGGATGATTTGAAGGTATAGTGAAATGGCTATAACAAGATTTGGTCCTCAAGTAAAACGCTCATACCAGTCATATGGGTTCCGCATAAAGTTGACAGCAACCGTAATATTGGGCTTGTGTTTTGTATTTGTTTGGTCTGTCTTTTCAAAATTTTCTGTTACTTCTCAAAGGGAAAGCTTTGATGATATTGCTGAACCAGTGTCTGCAGCAAGTGGGAAGGTGAGTGATTTTCAAATTCATTTTGGAAAGGAAGATCCAAAGAAAGGTCAAGAAAGTAGTGATGAATCTAGAGAGGTGAAATCTAAACCTAGTTTGGATGATAAAGACAAGAAGATTAATGGGTCCTTGCCAATTAAGCCTAAAGAAGGGCAGAAAAAGGAGCAAGAAGAAGGTAAGGGGAAAAGTGGGGGTGGGAATTCAAAGTTGCCAAAAGGGGATAAGGAGGAAAATCAAGAAAACAAGGGGGGATCGGAGGTTGGGGACGTAATAAGAGAAAAGGGAGAAGAGGAAGAGAATAGGAAGAGTGGTGAAGATTTGGAAGGGGAGGAGATTGCAAATGAGGAGGTAGAAAGAGAATTTGATTTAACTAATAGTGAAGACTTGGATCAAGAAGCTGTTGATGATGAAAATAAGGTTTCAAGAAGCGGAAAGAAGAAAAAGAAATTGGGTCCTTTATTTGATCCAAAAGCACACTATACCTGGAAATTATGTAACACAAGAAGCAAACATAATTACATTCCTTGTATTGACGTTGAAAGTGCAAGTGGAAGACTGCAGAGTTATCGTCATCATGAGAGGAGTTGCCCTCGATTGCCTGTTATGTGTCTTGTTCCTCTGCCCCATGATGGTTATGGTGATCCAGTGCACTGGCCTGAAAGTAAAGTGAAGGTATATATGTTTGTTTACCATAGCATTGATTGTTTAAAACTATATCTCATTGCTAAATCTATATGGATTGCAGATATTAAATAAAAATGTGGCACATCCAAAATTAGCTGCATTTGTTAAGTCGCAAGATTGGGTTGTGGAGTCTGGGGAATATCTCACTTTTCCTCAGAACCAACCTGTATTCAAGGGTGGAATCCGGCACTATTTAGACTCCATTGAGGAGGTGAGTTGCATGTATTGGTTTTCATAGGCTTAGAAACTGATATGTGGTTCAACTATAGAAATATATACAGCCCCTGTTTGAGCCCCATTTTTGGGCCAAAATGAATTTTACAATAATGTTTTGTTGAAGAATGTGTGGTTAAAAAATAAGGAAAAATTTTGGGTTTACGTGTAAAATTATTTTATGAGAATGTGTGGTTGAAAATGAGTTTTGAAATTATGAATTTTTGGAAAAATGGGGGCCAAACATAGGCACATTTTGAATGAAATAATGAACATCATACTCTCATTTATGAATTAGAAGTCTGGATGGTCTTCTATCTTGTGATTTCCTAGATGAGAGGAGAAAACTAATTCAAACTAAGTTGCTTTTAACTATTACAAGGTGTAGTATTGACTTGTAAATAGTATGTATGAACTAACTTACCCAATCTGCTATACATGGTGAATAGTTGTATAATTTTGTCCAATCTGATTTGATTGAGTTCGAGATTAACTTGTTTTACCAAAACACTTGTTACTGCAGACTGCTTTGTGCTTTCTCTTTCTGCTTTTCTACCTTATTATTGTTACAGTATTTGTATTTGTTACAGAATACTATTTTGGTTATGTTTCTTTTAAGATTCAACAACTTTGCATATTTGATGTTTGGAGGAATTTGGACTTTATAGATGGTACCAGACATTGAATGGGGAAAAAACATTCGCATAGTTCTAGATATTGGATGTAAAGATTCAAGCTTTGGGGCTTCTTTACTTGAGAAGGACGTGCTGACACTTGTACTTGGCTTGAAAGATGACCTAGTCGACCTGGCACAGCTTGCCCTTGAGCGTGGTTTTCCTGCTGTGGTTAGCCCCTTTTCAGCTCGAAGGCTTCCTTTTCCTAGTGGTGTTTTTGATGCAATTCACTGTTCAGAATGCAATATGGCTTGGCATTCAAATGGTTTGTTTCATCACCCTTTAGCTTCTGAGAAATCATTTCTTTTTTTAGTTTATTTTATTTATTAACATTAGTAGCTCTGAATTCAGGACGATTTTTCATTTAATTAATTTTCAGGGGTTAAGCTTATTTTAGAGTTGAGTAGGATTTTGAGGCCAGGAGGGTATTTCATTCTGTCAACTAAACAGAACAATATTGAAGCTGAAGAAGGTTTGCTTTCTCCTTGCCCATTTTTCTCTTACATCATAGGACAATCAATAGGATTGACCAGTAATCTACTGATCCCTTGATTGGAACTGGATAGTTATGTTTGTAACCCTATCTAATCCCTTACTTGGTCAATGGCCACAATTATGGGTACTAGAAACTATTAGAACGAGGAGGATGTGTGATACATGGTTGTGCCTGTAAAATATAAGTTATAATATTCTTCTTTTTTTCTGGGGCCTGGATGAGGCTGTGGGAGGAGGGGTGTGGGCGAGATTAGATTGGATAGCATGAATTTAACATTTGCAAAATTTGGAGGTCAAAATTTGTTTGTTAGAGAATGGTGGAAGGTAAAACTAGAATGCTCAATTTAGAAATGACATTTATGAACTGAAATTTGATACAGTGTGAGGAAATTTTGCATTGTACAATAAAGATATGCTTGGTATTGTAGTACTAAAGGAGAGATCCATGTGAATATTTCATTGTGTGTTTGTCACACTCTATCTAATGTTGAGATCTAGAAATATTCTGTGATTCAGGTACTTGAATGGCACGTTATTATTTGGTTATTGCATTTCTTTTATTACACACAAGCTTCCAAAATTCACAGACATCGACTTGCATAGTAATTGATATGATACACCCATCTTCCCGTTGACCATCACTATAGGCCTTGAGTACATGTAAATTAGGCAGAAACTACCATGGTCAAATCGTTTGTATATAAAAAAAAAAAAATCCTATATAAATTAAAACAACTTTTGTTAAGAGATGAACCGGTAAAACTGGCCTGTTCCGAGGTTATTTTGTTGGGGTTTACATTTTCAATTTTTTACATATAACAACACTGTTTCCCGGTTTTAGCTGTGAACACTGTTGGTGTGGTTCGGTTCTTATAACAATGCTAAAAACACCAGCATTGGGCTAAGGACAATTTATCCTTCATTTCCACTCTTCTTTAGTTCTCTTGATTTATTATATTTAATCAAACACCTTAAGGGTAGGGATTTTGTTCATGTTGTACATTTCCTTCAATACGGTAAATCTCTGCATATTGGCATATTTCATATTGCTCACTGCAGGAGTTGATGTTTGTGAATTTTGAAAGATTATTAATAAAACAACCTGGTATATGATTTTAGACCTTATTGACCTTCTAATATATCTTTTAGCCATGACCAACACCCCAGTTAGTCCTATTTGTGTGACTCTGTCTCAAGAATAGAATTACAATGACCAAATAATAGTGTCGTTGTTTATACAGATTCCAAAATATTTCTAGATCCCAATGTCAAATATAGTGTTACAATAGAAAATGTATGTTGGACTGTTAGTTCCTTTTTATCTCCTCGTGTATGTCCCCACATCGAATAGAAAATAAAAGGGGAGGAGGTGAAAGGAGAGCTATATAATGAATGTCTAGGCTATTGAAATAAAAGAAGCATAAAATAATTGGAGATTTCCAAGAAAGTGGGAGGAATTCGAACTAATTATTGTTTAGTGAGTCTTGGCATGAGATTTTTTTTGAGGGGTTTTGGTGACTGGTGTGCAAGAGATTCTGTGTGAATATAATAATTTTTCACCTGATGGAATCTCTGGAGGATTTGGGGATGAATCTAGAAATAGATCCAGATTCCTAACAAATATATCACATGCTTCTTTCGATTTGTCCTATTCAGTACATAATGCCAAACGTGTCTTTATTCTATGACATGAAATGTCATACCATAAATGTCATATATTATTCATGCATTCTAGTTTTACTTTCCAATGTTTTCTAACCAAAAATTTCCACCTCCAAATCTTGGTAAATGTACATATATGACTATGAAATCCCTTCAATATCCCTCCCGTCCCCATGAAAAATGTACTGTACGTGACAATTATGTATCACGTGTAATTTGGTTCTGAAACCCCTTGGACGACTCATGGAACTTTTATTGCTGCTCATTGCATTAGTTTCGAAACTTCTTCCCTATTTCTTTGCAAAAATGACGCTTGGAATGCTTTATCTGCTGTATTCCCAAAAATCCAGAAATATTAAGAGTTTTCTTGATCAGAAGCAGAATCTTATTTGGAAAAAGCTAATTTGAAAAAGTTGAATTTTTTCCTTAGGCGCCATGTTGTAACATCAGCTGTGTTGATCCTTACCATTTTTCTGTTTATTTGTGTCTTGTCATGCTTAAAAAATAATATTTTTTTTTTGATCATGCAACGTCTATTTATGTCATTTCTCTTCTTTTCCAGCTTTGTCCAAATTGACAGTATCTATCTGTTGGAACATCCTGGCTGATAAAGTCGATGAGGTCAGCGATATAGGTATCAAGATATATCAAAAGCCAGAATCAAATAACTTATATAAACTGAGAAGAAAAAAAGTTCCACCTATGTGCAAGGAAAATGAGAATCCAGATGCTGCCTGGTAAGGACGACAAGTTCACTTTGCACGCCATAGTTTCTCTCCCTTGTAGAACTTGGCACACGTTACTCGTTAACTCTAAAGTTTAATTAACACTACCAAAAATGTTGCCTTGCATCCAGGTGCTCACAGTTACACGTTATAATTTAGGCATGATGTATCTCTTGATTCATCTCTGGATTCGTATATTTAGCCCCAGTTTTGTAGGGATTAAAATCAAATTTTTAGTAGATTTTAATAAAAGTTGATGAAATGTGTAGTTGAAAAGTTGCGTATCCCATAAAATGAGTGATTTAAATTAATTGTTAACTTTGATTTAGATTAAAATCTAGATTTTAATCCCTACCAAACAGGGGCTTATGTCCCTTCATATGAAATTTTGGTATAGTAATGTCATATATAACTTCAACATGTTACCGGTGGCAGGTATGTTCCGTTGAAAACTTGCCTGCACGCCATTCCTGAAGGCATTGAACAACGTGGCACTGAATGGCCTGAGGGATGGCCGAAGAGGCTTAACATGTTTCCCGACTGGATGAATAATAGAGAGGGATTGACTGCCGATAGTGAGCACTGGAAGGCTGTTGTGAACAGGTCTTATCTAACAGGATTGGGTGTTGACTGGTCATCTATCCGGAATGTAATGGACATGAAAGCCATCAATGGAGGGTAAGTTAATAGAGTTACTACTGTTAAACTTTATTTGCTTGAGTATCTCATATTTCTAAAACTTATGACAATAATGAACGGACGATTCGAGAGCCAAAAGGCTTATAGAGTTCTAAATTTTATAGTAATTTTACAGATTCGCTGCTGCGCTTTCTGAGCAACAGGTGTGGGTGATGAATGTGGTACCGGTACATGCGCCAGACACACTCCCCATCATTTTTGAACGTGGGCTTTTCGGCACTTATCATGATTGGTGTGAATCCTTCGGTACTTATCCACGATCTTATGACCTGCTGCATGCTGATCACCTCTTCTCAAGGCTTAAAAACCGGTGAGAAATTGCCTTGCCAAAATTTGTTAGCTTATCTGGTATCTGCATCTTCACCATTATTAGTGGAATCTTGAAGGGATTAAGAAATCTGCCAAATGAACCAAATCCACACTAAAGCAATGTCAAAGAAAAAGGAGTTTCTTTCCTCTCTCAGTAACTTTCTATGTTTTCTTCTTTTTCTCTGTCTTTATTCCTATTTGTGCTTTGTCTTCTCATACGTTTCCTTTGCAGGTGCAAGCAGCCTGTAGCAATTGTTGTTGAGATGGATCGCATATTAAGACCTGGTGGTTGGGCAATAATTCGTGACAAGGCAGAAATACTTGATCCATTAGAAGAAATTCTGAAGAGTCTGCATTGGGAGATTCGAATGACATTTAGACAGGATAAGGAAGGCATCCTCTGTGCCCAAAAGACCGTATGGCGGCCCTAAAGCTTTTTATCAAGCTAGTGCTGTGCATTTTTCAACCATCTTCTACAGGCAGGAAGAGTATATATTTGTTCTTTATTTATTGACAAAAACAGTTTAGTACCAATGGTGTATACTATGCTATTGAGTGTCATTGTTGACACTCAGAAAAAGGGGAAATCATTTTTGTAGCTTCAAATGAGATACTTGGGTTCCCCTGTGCAAGCTTATGTATTAGAATATTGACATTTTTTTTTATTGAAGTTTCTCAGATTCATGGTTTTGATATAGATGGAATTCATTGATTACTTGTTTCGTCAAGGTATAGTACTAAAGAAGAAGAAAAGGTCGAAAACTATTTATTGTACTATCTATTTTTGTCGAGCACGGCGTGATTGCTACATTGCAATGAATGTTGGTTCATGAACTCTAGGACTTTTACCACAAGAAGTTCAGTAGAAATGTTTAAAAGTCATACTGAAGATGCAGAAATTTTTTAGTGCTAAATATAAACGCAACTTTCTGAAGAGAATAATGCAATTTTAGTTGCAATAAAATCAAGAGATTCAAAAATAGAGCCGTGGCACCTAAAATCCCTATGAAGCATCAAACTCTCCCATAATTTCCCTTAAACCCCAGGCTTTTCTCTAAAATGCCTACTATGTCCCTCTCCCGTCCACCTACGGGCCTCAAGCTTCTCACCCTACTCTCCGCCACTGCCACTCTCTACTTCCTCTACAAATCTCGCCACCGCTAGAGCCGCCTCCTCACGCGCCTACTCCTAACCCTCCGGCCAAAAACCTAACTATAGTTTCAAAAGAGGCAAACATTTTCTCACTTTCCAAACCAACACTTCCAAAACGTTAGCCCACCACCTCCACGCGAATGTTTTGCTTAACGATGTCCAATTTGATCTTGTGGATCCCCGAGAATTATAAACCTGAGGATATATGTAAAGAAACATTGTTTTCGATCGTTGATTCTACTTGGGAGAACAATTTGTCCCCTCAAAATGGGAGCTTTTTGGTAAATTGGTTAGCCGAGAGTGCTGATGATTTCAGAGTCGGGGCGCTTCTGCTTAGGCATTGTAAATTTGCGGGTTTTGGGGTTGGGAGTAGAAGCTATGGTGAGACCTTTAATGCGGTTGCGAGGGTCATTTCTGTTAAATTACAGAAGCTCGGGGCAGTGAAGGTTGTGGGAAGGGACTGTGGAAGAAGGAAATTTGGATGAGGTGTTTGAGAGGTGAAGAGAATTTTTGGGGTTTTAAAGGGTAATTTAGGAGAAAATGAGGCCCGCTTATGGGATTGGGAGTGAAAGTGAAGGTGAAGGTGAAGGTGAAGTTGAGTTTAGTGAGGAGGAGGAGGAGGGGGTGAATGGTCAGGAGTAGGGGATTGTTGATCTTGAGGATATAGTGGGATGGGAAAGCTCCTTTGGGAAAGTCGATGGTGGTGCCTAAACCTAATGGAAAAGTTGAGAATGGAGAGAGGTGATGCCAGTGATTCGACCAATTTTAGTGAAGCAGATAGAGTTTTTGAAATCACCCTTTCTAATGAATCAAGAAAGTTTGAATGCGACGTATTCTTTATGGTCTGTTTCTCATTCTGTGGTTTTCTTGATTCACTTTTCATTTCGTCATAATTTGGTCTTGATTGGATATTTTTTGCAGGGGTATAAAATCATTGGTTCCCATAGTGGGGTTAAACTTTGTAGTTGAACCAAGTCTCAGCTTAGAGGGCGTGGAGGTTGCTATAAGCACTCATTTTTTTGGCATCGAGAATCACAGGTGTAGATTAATTTTCTTGAATTATTGCCTATGTAGCGTTAACCATTTAAAAGTCCAGTAAGTTCAAAGACTTTGTTTTTCTGAGATGTACATTTTTCTGGCATTTTCCTAGCTGGTATTTCGAATTTCTAACTTGTATACATGCGTATACTAGGTTCATGGAGGCAACCCCAAGTTTAGCATGTGCCAACAAATGTGTTTTTTGTTGAAGACATCACACAAATCCTGTAGGGAAAGCTGGCGGTGGAAGATGGATGATCCAATAGTTATTGTTGATACTGCTATTGATTTACATATGAAAATGATAAAGCAAATGAAAGGAGTTCCAGGTAGGTTTGCTAACGGTCATATGTACTGGAATGGAAGAAACAAAATTCATTAAGAGATATGAGCATTTTAGAAGACGAGAAGTTGAGTATGTGTTGTAGATTTGCATGTCTGTATGGACAGGTACTGAAATGGGTTGAATTCTAGGAATTTTGTGAAGACAACTGCAAATCAGGAGTAAAAGAATATTTTTCCAGCAATGGGTTATATTCTGTGACATGGAGTTGGATGGGTGGAGCATATTAGATTTTACATGCCTCAAGTGTGTCAATTGCTTCGCCCCTGTCTGACTCTCTTTAAATTATAATTCTTTATTTCTCATGCTTATTTTTAACCACACATTCAGATAATAAAATATTCTGCGCGTAAACTCAAAACTTTTCCCTAATTTTTAACCACATATTTTCCAAAAATCACTATTCAAAACATCATTTTCCCCCATTTTCTCTTTATAATGGCCTTCAAACAGGGGCTTCTTTCTTCGTGCTGATCGAACACGTCTCTTCAGTTATTATTTAGCTATTCTTAATAGATATCCATACCAATGTTTTTTCAATTTGACTGGGATCTCTTATATCTCTTATATGTTGGATTCACTTAGCATTTAATTCTTTTCATCTCGTTAGTTTATGTTCTATTTGGGATCCGGGACAAAAAAAATGTATTCTTGATTTGTTTTGCTCATGGTATTTTATGCCCTGAGTAAGGGGCTGGTTGGCAATATGCTGTTCAGTGTTGATAACAGATAAGATAATTATGATTGCAGGGGTAAAAGTATAGCGGTTGTCAGAGGGTCTTTCTTTAAGACATGGTGCCTTGTCTCTTGTTGGTGAGCCTATCATGTACCCAGAGATTAACTCACTTGTCGATGAGCTGCATTGGAGGCGAATCCCTACTTTTCTCGTAACAAATTCTCAGTTTTCTGAAAGGATTTAGATGCTGAAACTATCACACAGGTCTGCATATTTTCGTCATACAACATTTTTTCTAAAGGGCATTATAGTTTGGAATATTACAGTTAACAGGTTTCTATTTGAATCATACAGTTGTATTTTAGTGTAGATGCTGCTACAAAGGATGAAAAGGCGATCGATAGACCTCTCTTTGGGGACTTTTGGGAGCGATTTGTTCCTAGTAGCTTCCTAGTTAGGAAGAATTTCCTGTTAATTCTGTTTTGTTATTATTATTTTCTTATTTCTAAACTACTGGACCTTATTGACTTTTGCTTATAAGCAAAATGAGGATGAGGCTTTTAATAAACTAAAAAATCTTATTCATTTTTTTTATTGAAATCCATTTTAAGATATCAAAAAAAGAAAAAACTTGGGCAACTGTCTTGGTTCCCACTGTAGGGTAAGGGACTTGAATCCTACATCAAAAATATGAAATTTCGCTGTGTATAGACTTGAGCTTTCCCACTAAGCCCGTATTTACTTTTGTTTGCTATCATGCCCCTGTTTGGCCCCCATTAAATTTTATTACATTACATTAAATTTTTCTCCCTCTTCATTACAACCACACATTCATCAAATAAAATAATAATAAACACAAATTTAAAACTTTTCATTACTTTTTCACCACACATTCTCCAAAAATTTTCAACTCTAAAAAATGCCAAATAATGGGGGCCAAACAGGGGCCATATATCATTCTAATATGTTCATTGTCTCTACGTGAATTTTAGTTGCTATATGTTGTGATTATGGCTTTCATAATTGCATCACGTATGTATTTGCATGTGGCTGGGGGATAATTCCCCCAATTTATTTACTGTTCGTATTCTGAAGTTGCAGATCTCCCATCTTTAGTCGAACTTTTGTCATAGCATGTCTAGTATGACTTTTTCTGAATTAATGTCAGGATTCTTTGAAAGCTCTCAAGAAACAGCAGCAGCGAACTGTCTATCGCTTGACACTGGTTAAAGGATGGAATGCAGAGGATGTAGTTCTTATTCTAACCTCTTTGTTATCGGGGATCCTGATTTTATTGAAATTGAAGGGGTTACATATTGTGGATCGTAAATCAATCTTAGCTGGTCTTGTTATTACTGAATTGCACTTTTTCTGTGTATATCAATTCGTGTTTGCTCTGACTACACAACATGGCAAACTCTGTAACAGGTCAGCAACTTCAAAATTGACAATGGAGAATGTACCCTGGCATTCTGATGTAAAAGAATTTTCAGAAGCGTTGGCTCAAAAAAGTAATGGGGTTTATGAGGTTGCTTGCTGCATGTGCACTCGTGTTGTGTTCTTCTGGCTAATGTCGACAAATTTTAAAGTTAACGATCAATGGTTCTCTTGGATAGATTACGACACCTGGTGGGTGACTTCGTCTCTTCTTATAAAAATGTGCTATCGTAGGATAGGCTTATTTTGTGTTCCTTTTGTACCGAAGTTTCATGTTCTGATCTAAAGGTGGCAGCTGGAGAGCCTTTTAGAAGGATTATATGGCTTCGACACCTTCATGGGCAGTGTATGGAGCTGAAGAAGGTGGGTTCGATCCAGAGCAGTCGCGTTTCAAAAAAAAAAGAGGCATCACAAATTCTCATACTGAGAAGATGTATTTTCAAGTTTGCTTTAAAGAAGAATTGACAAAGTTTTAGAAGTATTTGCCGTTGTTTGAGCCCCATTTTTGGCTAAAAATGTGTTTTCGGATAATAATTTTTTGAAGAATATATGGTTAAAAAATGAGGAAAATTTTTCGATTTGTGTAAAATTATTTTATGAGATAATATGATTGAAAAAACGTGTTTTCGAAGGAATGGAGCCCAAACATAACATCAACTAGCGTACATTTTTTGTCCGAATTGTTACTTCTTTTTCCTTTATGGCCGGTTTGGCTTCAGGCTAATGGATATGCTTTTTTGCTTTCATTCGTTTGAAGGGATGGACAGAAGGTTTAGGATCAATTTGGTACGGCTTCTTGTATAATAGATTTAAGAGGAAATTAACTCAAGTAAGCTTCTATCAAAAAGCTCTTCTAACTAAACAAATTAATCAAGAAAACATGTTAAAAAATAGCTTTTTAATTTCAAAAACAGTCCATGATTTTTCAAAAGTTATATCAAACGGACCCCACTGTAATGCGATGGGTAATTTGACAAATATTTTACATTTGTCTGAATGAGAAACTGTTTTCTTGGGTGCATCCATCTGCAAATATTGTTGGCTCGAATTGAATGAAAGTATCTACAAGCATAATATTGTGAATACATGCTGCTGCATGCCTTTCGAATATCGAAATTACTCAAGGAAAATGCAAGGAATTCAAAGATTAAAAATGCCAAACCACCCAGAAAAGAATTATACCGTTTCAACATCTGAGCAAAGCACAATTAAAAATAAAATTACAAGATGAACATATTATCTTCATGACCTGTTCTATATTTTTTCTTTCTGATTTCTACCACAAAAAAGCAAGAAAGTACCAATTCAATTTCTTTCTTTTAGCTGCTCTTTCTGGGCTTGCTTTTTCTCCGAGCTCTGCTGCTTCTCCGTGGAGGCTGCTGCTTTGACACTTGTGTTTCTTCAATCTGCAACTCTTCTTTTTTCTCTTCTTCTTCTTTAATAGTTTCTGCTTTCTTGGATTCACCCTCTAAAACATCTTCATGTTCTACTGCTCCTGCTGCTGTTTTAATTTCCTCGATTTTTTCGACGATTTTCCTAGGCCTCCCTCTCTTTCTCTTCTGCTGTTGTTGGGGCTCTTCGCCTATTGATGATTCTGCTATTCCCCTTGCCACTGATACCTTCTTCTTTCCCATCAATTAAAGTCATACAAATTCTACTTTATAAAAAGCTGCAAACTCTAAACAATTTTTTTCATTTTTCTATAAACCACAAAACCAGATTCTATTTATTTCAAGAACAAGTGGGCTGTCTCTTCGGAGTTTCCTATGAGCAGCCACTGAGAACTAAACACAAAACAATCATATCACAAACACAAACATTCAACTTTATACATAAACTAAGAACTAAAAATTTTCTTTCCATCTACAAAACCCGAAAAAGAATATACTCCAAATTGAACAGAATCATTTCCTAGAGAAAACCACTGAAAAGCAAGGAAAAATACATCTTTTAACTGGCCGCCTATTTTCAGATACACTATATTCTCACAGTCTTCTTCTGTTTAATGAATTGCAGAAAAATAAGACCAGCAGGG